AGGCACCGGGACAGAGAACACCAAGACAAGATACCAAAGCAGGAAAGGAGAGAGCAGTAGAAAGCTCGAGGTGGAGCCACGCCACCATTCCTAACGGCTCACAGCTGTGCGGGCCCTGGGTGGCGCGGAGGGCACGTGGCTTCTACTCCGGTGCCAGCCGGCTGCCGAGGACACAGGAGATCTGCGGCAACCCTGTTTCCCCTACAGACTGGAAACATCCCAAACGCTACTCAGCAGGGAACCCCTGGACTCCTATTCATCACAGGAAATTATATAATTAAACCGGATAAGACATATGCACCCATACGCGTGCTTTTGAAATACACCAGCGAATGACGCCATAGTCCTCAGGCTGACGGCTCAGAGGCCGCTACCACTCTGATACACAGCTCCGTCAGTGCGCAGACATGTCTAGAAGTACGGGCACCCCGAACGAATGTCATAATTCTGGGGAGCAGAGGATAGATACTGGTGGTGGAAGTCAGAGAACCTTTCAGCCTTCCAAATGCAGTCCTTAGAAAGGCTTGGACGAAAATGCCTCTCACCCAGAACACAAGAGGAGGTGCTGGCTAGCCAAGAGCAGGGCATCAGAGGTGGAAGTGAGAGAAGCTGGGAGTGGGGGTGGGGGGTAGGGGCCAGGCACAGAAGGATGAGTCCCGTGGGTCCACAGCCTGGAGGGATGACGCCTCAAGGCACCCCAAGTGGAGAGCTGGTATAAAGGGGAGGGGACACAAACCAGGTCTTGCCATATGGTCTCAGCCTCTAAATTGGAGACCAAGTTCCACATCGAGAGGGCAAATGATAAGAGTGTTGAGAAGTATTTGGAGGTGCATGGGGGAGGAGGAGAGAGCTGGCTAGGAAGGCAGGGAGCACTTAACCCATTAGTTCCTAACCACACTGAGGGACCCGCGCCCTGGGCACGAGAGGGCGGGGGTGGGGACAGGGATTCGGGCGCAGGTTTGAGGCAGATCAGCCAGCGAGGGTAAGGAGGGCTAAAACAAGGCTCCCTTGGGCAGGAGAGATCAGAGGATCCGAGACAGGAGACAACACAGGATCCGAAGGCCTGAGGGGCATGACCAGGGAAAAGTCCAGCAAGGGAGGCTGCGAGGAAGGGGCAAGTGGGGGGACAGCCTCGCGCGAAGTGGACACGGCACTGGCGGGGCAGAAGCACAACATGAGGTACAGGAAGGTGTGGAGAGCGCACAGGCCAAGCGGTAGCAGGCTCTTTGCTCCCACGTTTGTGTAGCTCCCAGCACAGGCGGGTGGGGCCAGGGAGGTTTGAGGCAGGTGGCGCCAGCCCCTCTGAAGAGGGCAAGGATGAGGTCAGACTGAAGTATGTGCCTCGAAGGGAGACCGCTGCCTTGTGGGGCGGAGGGGCTTGGCCCCCTGCCCTGGCACTTGCGGGCTCTGAGAGAATGGGCTGGGTGGGCCGGGCAAGGCGCCCCAGGAGCAGTCTCCACCTAGGGAGCAAGGCCCCAGGGCTCCCCGCCACCCCCCACCGAGTTGGGGTCTGAGTAGGAGCCGGGTGGCTGAGTCTTAACTTTGGACAGTTTCGGAATTAAAACTCGAGAGGTTAGTACAAAATCCCCCTACAGGCGGTATCAGATTCCGCGGATTCCTGAAGAGGTTGACCTTTTAATCATTCTCCACCGCTTCCTACCTCTACACAAACATGCGTCTTCCCCAGAGTGTTCACATCCAAGTGGACAGGAATGTCTTATAAACTTAAGGAACTGGGCCCCGGACCGCAGCACATTAGTAAAGGACCCCGGAGTGAAGTGGAATGAAATGACAAGGAGGTGACACAGAAGAGTAGTTCAGGAAGCGAAGGTGGGACGCTCAGCTGCTCAGCCGGGTTCTGGCTGGAGGCGCGGGCCTGACACTGCTCACGCCATGGCCGCAGCCACCTCAGCCAGGGCCCCATCGTGGCCCCAGTGTCTGGTTCCGAGGTCATGAACGAATTGCTTACTCTTGGCACAAGTCACTGAGTGTCAGAGCTGGTAGATAAGGTGGCAAGTTGGCTGACATCTGAGGGACGAGTCTGTGGTGCACATGTGTTCGAGGGGAGGTAGGTGGCAGGGAAAAGAGGAAGTTTTACACCTGGTAAGAACCAGCAATGTCACCCCCACCCTCCTCCAGAGGCAACGGGAAGCCCTAGGATGGGTGGTGGCACAGGCGAGGGGAAAGCCACGTACCTTTTCTAGAATCTCCCCCGGGAACAAGGGAAAGGGCTCCTGGGCCAGCCGGATCTCCAGGTCTGCGTGGCGGAGCCGTACCTGCCCCGTGGTATCAAAGAGCACCGAGCCCTGGTCATCCCGGGTCACGGGGTTGGCCACGATGCAATAGTGGCGTGGGGGGACAGTCACCATGCGCACGGGGGTAAACAGGATCCTGGTGGAGAGAAGCCACGTGAGGCGTCAGAAGCCCCCCACCCCTCGCTCCCACAGATGCAGTGACTGGAGAAAAGGCTCACCCGAGCAAGACAGAGTCCCGCGTAGGAGCAGAGAGGAGAGAGAGATCGTGCCAGGCAGACTAACGGACCCTCCCAGTCCCGACGCCCACCTCTCATTGTCCTGCCGGATGAATGTCTTGGGCCCAACCTCCACGTGGGACACATTGCTGTTCTGGTCCAGCACATGGATGTAGTGGTACGGGGGGATGCGGATGATGGACGCTTCAGTTTCCATGGTGACTCCTGAGCCCAGGGCAGCACCGAAAGTGACAGACAGGTGGGGGGAAGACACAACTAGATGAGCGCAGGAGGCCTGCAGTGAAGCAGGCAGCTGGCACAGTGGCTCAGCCCCCCTCCAGCTCAGGCGACACCTCTCTTCCCTGCCCTCACCCTGTGCCCTTCTTCTTGCCCCAAGCCATGCAGCCCAACCAGATCTCACCCCTGCCAGAACTGCCCAGAGAAGCCTGGGTCTTCTGCCTCATTCCCTTCAGCTTCACCTTTCCTCCCATACCCAAAGCAGAAAGACTTTAGATCAAAGCTTTTCAGTCTCCAGACCTAATGGAGGAGGCAGAAGGACATGCAGCTGTGAGGGTGGGTGTGAGCTGTCAGCACAGGCAGAGGAGTCATTCTGAGGAGCAAGCTGACTCCTCGAGGGCAGGAGCCACCGGTCTTTATTTCAGGGATCCTAAGCACCCAGCTGTATCCAAACCCTAGCCATCAGATCAAGAATATCTGTATGATCCGGCCCTCCCTGGAGGAGCAGTGGGTTGAAGCTCAGCATTATGAAGCTGCTGCATCCACTTCAGCAGAGTTCAATCCCCGGCCAGGGAGCTGACCCACATGGCGTGGCAGACCTCTCCTGACCCGCCCGCTGCTCCCCTCAGCAGTGTACTTCGTCCATCTGCCTGTTTGGCTCCCCAATCTGTCTCTGGTGAATCCTCTCACCACCTCTACACCTCTGGCCTGTAGCCCAGTTCTGTGTGCATAACTAAATAAATCTTAAAAAAAAAAAAAATTTGCATGGTCTTTGCAGCCCTCCCACCTCCACTCTACTTGAAGCAATCCTGGGAGAAGTGTTCAGACCTGAACACCCCTCAAGGAAGGGATTCCTGCCTGAATGATGCCTTCGTAGAACCAGCTAGATTATGAACACCAAGAACTCTAGGCCTTTCTTCCCCATCTCTGTGTGGACTGAAGCCACCTGTGTTCTCTGTTGCCAAGGGCCGGGCGGTGGTGAGCAGGAGGGGCACTATATTCCAACCAGGCTAGCTGCTTCTGAATCTGGGTGATTCCACCCGGCCATCCAGGGCTTACTTTGTTCAGGGACATCACACCTCCTATCTAAACCCCAACCTTCCTCCAGCACACACCAGACTTTGGGCACATCATGCAAAGGGAACAATTTTACTAAGCTTAAAGCCTCCCTGTGACTTCAGGCAGATCATTTTTGAATCCATCACCAGAAAGGAGTGGTACCTCATCTATCCCAGGAGAAGAATGGAATGAGGAGGAAGGAGTGACTTGGCACAGGAAAATAGGGACCACAAAGTTAGTCAAAACTACAAGAGGCCGGGGCCCTCCCTAGTGGCACAACAAGTTAAAGCGCAGCACTGTGAAGCTATCTACAGTCACTGCAACACAAGTTCAATCCCCGGCCTCGGAGGTGACCCACAGGGCACAGCAGACCTCTCCTGACCTGCCCGCTGCTCCCCTCAGCAGTGTACTTTATCAGTCGGCCTGTTCTGCTCCCCACTCTGTCTCTGGTGAGTCCTCTTACCACCCCTGCACCTCTGGCTTATACCCCCAATTCTGTATGCATAAATAAATCTAAAAAAAAAAAAAGCTACAAGAGGCCCAAAAGTTTTACTTGAGGGTCTCCCTGGTGGCCTAAGGGTTAAGTCGATGCCTGGCCAGGAAGCTGACCCACACGGCGCAGCAGGCCTTCCTTGTCTTGCCTCTGCTCCCCTCAGCAAGGGTATTTTAGTCAATCTGCCTGTCTGCTCCCCATTAGAGTGCTCTCGTTCCACTGTCTCTGGTGAGTCCTCTCAACCCCCTGCATGTCTGGCCTACACCCTAGTTCTTCTATGCAGAAATAAAGTTTTACTTGAGTCACACACAATCTGTAAGATTTCAATTATTTTCTTTATAAGTTTCCAAAACTCCAAATTTTTGTTTCTTTTGAAGAATTAGGAGACTGGGCTGTACATTCCCATGTGACAAAATTGGCAGAAGTCAAGTAGCAGCAGGGCCATTTAGGTGGGAATTTTCCTCCTACTGGTCCCCACCACTCGCAGCTGTCACACCAAGGGCCCCGCATTCACATCACCTGCCTGGCTCCCGCTTAAAGCGCTTTAACTCAGCATTTGCCAACAGGACTTTTGTTTCTTAAAGATTTAAGAGGACTCACCAGAGACAGAGTGGAGAGTAGAACAGGCAGATGGACGAAGTACACTGCTGAGGGGAGCAGCAGGTGTG